TCATGTACTCCATTTTCGCTGAGAAGGCAGTTCCTACCCGTATTGGTAGTACTTGTTGATGACTGTTCTCTAGACATATTCTGTCGTTGCCACCGCCTTCTTTCAACTTCAAAGTCACATTGGTCTTTAGACATTTTCTGTCAATGATGCTGCTGTTTTTCGGCTTCAGAGTGACGTTTTTCCAGTAGCTGCTCTTCAGATACATTCTATTGCAGGCACCACCTTCTTTCAAGATCAGACGCACGTTGCTCTGCGGACATTTTCTGTTGATAACGCTGGCATCTTTCGGCTGCAGAGCTATGTTGTATCAACAGTTTCTCTTTGGACATAGTCCCACCTCTCTACTGTCACGGTCTGAGATGCAGGTGAATGAGAGTCCTGGCTAGGCCACTGACAGGCCACTGAGAGCTGTGTGACCAACGGCTGATTCTCGATGATTCTGTGGGGGTGGGACTTCCTCCTCCCTGCTGTCAGTTTCCACAGCTGCCATGAGGAAGCTGGGGTGACAGAGGAGCCACACCCTCCAAGCCACCAGCTTTCTCGCTCTGCTGGACCCCACAGCAGCATCTGGAGCTGCCCGCTCTACCTCCCCCATCCCCAATCTGGGGCCTGGACCCTGCCTGCAGCCTCTGGTGCTGCCAGCCCTGCCTCGCCGGATCACGGATGTGAGGCCTGGATCCCATGGGCAGCGTCGGGGGCTGCCGGCCCTGCCTCGCCAGGTCATGGATCCAAGGCCCAGATCCCAGGGGCAGTGTCTCGCGCTGCCCGCCCCACCTGCAGTATGCAAATTTAATGGCCATCTTTGTTGGGTTAATTTGCATACTCTTCTGATTGGCTGATGGGCGTAGCGAAGGTAAGGTCAATTAGCATCTTTGTCTTTTATTAGTGTGGATAGGGATTTAAGATACACAGATGCACACATCTGTCAAAAGTCAGAGATTGTATACTTAGAATTTGTGTATTTCCCCATATTTAAATGTTAAAATTTTTTAAGTTTAAAAAATACTGGTCTCAAAAAAAAATACTGGTCTCTCAAATTGTTTTGAACAGGTTTTGGCAGCCTATGGCCTGACAAAGGCTGAAGTAATGCAGTAGTGAAAATGGCCCAGACTTTAAAGCTATCCAGGCATAAGTCTGAATCTCAGCTCAGCCATTAGGCTGTGAATCCTTAGACAAGTTACTTAACTTTTCTGTTTATTTATCTGCAAAAAGGAAACAGTAACACAATGCTCAACATGTAATAAGTGCTCCATAAATGATACCAAATGATAAACTGACATTTGAGATGATTACAGGTCACGGGACCAAAGGTGGTATTATTGCACATCTCATAGATGCCATTTCAACCAAGGTGTGTTAGCCTATTGAGGGTTATGTCTAAATCACCCCAGGGATAGTTGTGTTTTCATAAGGTCCCCTGAAGATTAAAACGTTACAAAAAGTAACCCCTCTCCCTCCCATGGTGTGAATGAATGAAGAGTTGGGAAAAATGCTTGGCAGATTGGCTCTCAGTTCCCTGAGCTGCACTCACCTCAGGGTCTGTACCTTCTTCATAGGAGCGAATGCTGAAGATCATGCCTTCAAATGTGTGGTCCACCCGCAGGACAGCCAAAGCCAGGCTGGCCACTGTCAGATTTGCTGTCCTCCCCAAAAACTCCATCTTGTGACCGGCATGGTTGATTATCCTCAGAATTCTGCAAGAAACACCAGGTAGAGAAGAGCATTCCTACCTTTTAAATGTAAAAACCCATCCTCCTTATAAGATTTCCTAAGTGTGAGACTTTTCTTTGAGTTTTAATCACTATCTTCATTTTGTTAAGGAATTATTAGATAGGAGCCTTGGCTTTGCACTCAGACAGAAGGTCTAAATCTTAGCTCCTCTGATTTCTATGTGGGCACATAAATAACATCACTGAGTTTCCATTTCCTCACGTGTGAAGTCAGAGTAATACTAGCACTCATCTCAAAAGATTTGTTAAAGATTAAATAAAACTATTGTATGTAAAGCCGGAACCTACATGGCCTCATGGGCCAAGACATTTGGACTTTTTTCTACATGTAACAGAAAGCCACTGCGTAGTTTTAAAAGCAAGATAATGACATGATATGATATATACACTAAAAGATCATTCTGGCTGGTATGTAGAAAATAGACAGAGAGAGGCAAGAGCAGAACAGAGAAACCAGTTTGCAGGTTACCGTAGAAAGTCAGATGAGAGAAATGGAGCTAGGAATAGGAAAGTGGTGGTAAAGACAGAGAGAAGTAGATGGATTCCAGGAATATTTAAGGGATTTAAAAATTATGTACAGCCCTGGCTGGTGTGGCTCAATTTGGTTGGACATCCTCTGGTGCAGCAAAAAGTTGCTGGGCCCATTCAGTCAGGGCACATGTCCAGGTTGCAGGCTTGATCCCTGGTAGGGGGCTTGCAGGAGGCAGGTGATCAATATTTCTCCCTCACATCTATGTTTCTCTGTCTCTCTTTCTCCCTTCCTCTCTCTCTCTCTAAAAAAAATCAATAAAAATTTTTTTAATTTAAAAAATTATGACCCTACCCAGTTTTGCTCAGTGGATAGAGCTCTGGCCTATGGACTAAAGGTTTGATTCCAGTCAAGGACATGTACCTCGGTTGCAGGCTCAATCCCCGGCCCTGGTCAGGGTATGTGCAGGAGGCAATCAATCAATGTGTCTCTCTCACATCAATATTTCTTCTCTCTGTCTCTCCCCTCCTTTCCACTCACTCTAAAAATCAATGGAAAAATATTCTTGGATGAGGATTAACAACAACAAATTATATGCAGTGCCTCATACAAGACTTGGTTACTTGTTGGCTGCAAGGTAGAGGGAGGTACGTAGCTTTATTCTTAATATTTTTTGCTTGAACACTGGGTGGAAGCATTTTATAGAAATGGGCAACATTGGGGAAGCACCATCAGTGGGGAAATAGATCCGAGGTTTGGTTTGGGTAACTATTTATTTGGAAAGTCATTCTCATTAAGGTTCCATTAAATTTTGAATGCATTCTTTCACAGCTTAGTTTTCAATGCATAGCTATGTGACCTTTAAAATTGGTGATTACTATATGTGAAGGAATTAATAACAAATAGTATGAAACAATTTATTTTACCAAAGTATTAGTACTTACTCATTGCTTACTTCATGTAGATCAGATACTGAATTGTTTTGCTTTCCCAAAACAGCATCGATTATTTGTAATATAATCTTGGTTAGTTTCATACTTATCTCATCACATTGTGAAATATCAGATAATTTAGAAACAATAATCCTTGTTTCTTCTTCATCCAGAGAGGGGGACTCATTTATCAAATTTAAAATGTGCTTAGCAACATCATCTGCATTCTCTGGAGAAACAAAATAGAAATGGAAAACCTGCTTTAGTTAGTTTGGGGCCATGCTGCTTCATTCTCTTTGAAAGGTAAAGGTAGTGAAATGCAAATACACATAACATAACAAAGTTTACAGAAGGAAAACAATGGACTCAATTTCTACAATAGATGGAGTCTCAGAAAGTAACACATAAGCCAAGCTCTTATTCATTAAATCCTATTTTAAATACACCAGAGAAACCTTTTTGTCACTGAAGAATCATACTGCAATCAGATTTTAATTAATTTAAGACTTTTAAAATATTTTTATTTATTTTTAGAGAGAGAAGAAGGTAGATAGAGAGAGAAACATTGATGTGAGAATGAGACATCAATCTGTTGCCCCCTGCATACCCCCTACCGGGGATCAAACCCACAATCCCAGCATGTGCCCTGACCTGAATTGAACTGGCAACCTTTCCCTGCATGGGATGATGCCCAATTAGCTGAGCCACATTGGCCAGGGCAAGTTAAGACTTTTGAATATTGGATTGAGTTAAGTAGATCCCACTTTTACTGAAATATCAGCAAACAGTCTATGCTTTCATAATCAAGGGTGATAGTGACTGTTTTTCTGCCAAGAACCAGCAGCCCACAGGAAAAAAAACAAACATGAACCACATAACAATAAAAAGCAACTTAATTTAGATTTTTTTTTCTAGAGAGTAAGAATAATGGATATTAACTCATTCACTTTTCTTCATTTTTTGTTATGGAAATTTTCAAATATGCACAAAAGTAGAAAGAAGAGTCTAATGAATCCCCACGTACTTCATGAATCACCTTACTTCAATAAGTGTCAATGAAGAGCTAATCTGATTTAATCTATACTCCCACCCACCTTCCACAAGCCCAAATTATTTTAAAGAAAATTCCAGGCAGCATATAATTTCATCCATAAATACTTCAGTATGCATCTCTAAAACAAAGGACCTTTGCTTATCATAACCACAATACAAATAATACTCAAAATCATCAAATATCCACTCAGTACTCAAATGTCCTTAATTGTCTCATAAATGCCTTTTTAAAATAGCTTTTGTTGGAGGAAGAAAAATGGTGGTCGAACAGGCAGACGTGTCCTGCACCTTGTCCCGGAGCAGAGGAAGGAGCAACTAAATCAGTGATGGCGAACCTATGACACGCGTGTCAGAGGTGACACGCGAACTCATTTTTTTGGTTGATTTTTCTTTGTTAAATAGCATTTAAATATATAAAATAAATATCAAAAATATGTCTTTGTTTTACTATGGTTGCAAATATCAAAAAGTTTCTATATGTGACATGGCACCAGAGTTAAGTTAGGGTTTTTCAAAATGCTGACATGCCAAGCTCAAAAGGTTCGCCATCACTGAACTAAATCAAATAACATCCACCCAAAATTGGTGAATTAGACACAGCTGGTGAGATAATTCACAGCCAGGAAGGACAGAGGATGCCTGGAGAATGGTAGGATCCGGGATCTGGGCTGGAGAGAGATACATTACCACTGGGCCATGAGGGTCAGGAGAAAGCTGCACTGCACCAAGTCCGAGTCCATTGGGAACAGGAATAACATCCAACTGTGGAAAGGAAGTCCACAGGGCTGCTGGTGGCAGGGGTTTCTAGATCTAAGTCCACAGCCATGAGAAGCTGTTCCCAGAAAAGCAGCCTGAAGAGCTGCCTGAGCCATGCAGTGCCAGGGGGAGAGAAACTCACAGTCACATGGTTGTTTTGCCTTTGTTTTGTCTTTGTTTTTACTCACTAAACGCAGTTCATAGGACCTTTCAATTACAAACACTCACCCGAGGCTGTGGTGCAGATAGAGGTACAGATTTGTAGAGTCTGAGGAGAGGCAGTGAAGGAGAGCATAACAGGGAGAGGTGACCAGGAACCCAGCACTGAGTCTTTCCTGACCCTCCAAACCTAAGCAGCCATTTTTCTCCTGAAGAGCCAGCCCCTCCCAGCAGCCTCAAGACAACTAATACAGCCACATCCAGCCTACACCATGAGCTTTTCAAAGGAAGCAAAGACTCTGAATAGCCACAAAGAGCCCTCAAGGACTGGGTTGAAGAGAGGCCATTCAGTCCCAGAAAGCGATACAGCACTACCCCCAACTAAAACCCTGCCAGAAGCAGACACTTGAGTGATTAAGATTGACAGACAGATTAAGGCAGACAGGTAAAGCGGGCACATTGGTCCCGCCTGCTTGCAACCAAGGCTGTGGAAATAGACACAAACAGAGGAGCAGTGTATCTCTTGGAACTTCAACATGATGCTGAATACCTAACAGGAAACTGAGAAGTGACAGACAGAACAAAAGAGTGTGTTCTTAAACCAGCCCCCGTGGGGCATTAAAACTCAGCTGAAGTGAACGACACTTCACTTTTTTATTTTTTATCTCTTATTTAAAAACATTTTCTTCATTTTTGTTTGTTTGTTTTTTAAATCTTTTTTTGTATTATTTTTCTTCATTCTATTTTTATTATTTTATTTTACCTTATTTTTTTCCACCCTTTCCTTCCTCACTTCCTCACTTCTCCCTTTTTAATCCTGTTTTTTCTTCTCCTGTCCCTGCTTTAGGTTTTCTCTTTCCTTTCCTTTTACCCCTTGTTAAAAATTGATCTCAATCTGCTTTATTGACATGTTATTATTATTGTAGTCTCTGATGGCTTACTCATATATCTAATTTCCTCTCCCCTGCTCCAAGTCCATGCACCCTTCTCTTTTCTCTTTATTTCCTAGGCATTTTTTTTATGCTGTTGTTTTTCTTCTCCTCTCTTGCTCTCTTCTTCTCCTAGTTGTTTAATTAGTTTCACTCTAAACTCAAGCCTATCTTCTCTCCCCTCTATTCTCCTTTTCCAAAAATAAATGAACAAATGAATAGGTAAATTTTAAAAACTATTTTCTATTTATTTATTTTTCTTCTTAACCACTCATTTTCTTTCTACCTCCTCTGTACTGAACCATGGTCCTTTCCCTACTCATTCAATTCTTTAACCTTACTTTCTATATATAAGCTCTGCCAATACAGATTCTGTCCCCACCTTTTTTCTGAGTGTTTGCTGTTTGCATTTTTTGGTTTATTTGTTTGTTTTTGTGGTGTTTTCTCCCCATATATTTTTTATTCATTTTCTTTTCTCTCTTACTTTTTTTCCTTTTCTCAATATCATTTTTGCTTTCTTTTCTCTCTCCTAATTCTCTTTTCTCTGGTGGTCACTTTTATTGGGGTTATCAGTGTCATGAGTACACTTGTGTTTTCTTCCCTTTGTGTTGTGTCTTGTCGAGTTGTATTTTGTACTGTTCAGTCAACATAGTAGAGAACCAGCCACATAACCAGATGCCCTAAGAGGAGACTCCATCCACGAACAGGACAATATCACTCAAGACCCAACTATACCAAGAGAACTCAAATATCCCAAGTAGGGGGAATCCCTAGAAAACCCAGCCTAGAAGACCTGAGAGATTGTAATTTTGGGTCCCACAAAGCTTCTACTATATAAGAAAAACTCAAAAAATCTGGGTGGCATAGCAGTTTGATCTAATACATAGAAACAATAACAAAGGAACAGCAAAAATGGGGAGACAAAAAAAGAATCCTCATATGAAAGAAAAGGAGAAATCACCAGAAAAGGAAATAAACAAAATGGAGTCAAGCAATTTGTTAGAGAAAGAATTCAGAACAATGGTTATAAGAATGCTGAAAAGGATGAAATAGAAATTAACAACATGTAAGAATGAAGAGGAAATGAAGAAGAATCAAGAGGAAATGAAGAATGACATAGGTGCAATAAAGAACACAATGGAAAGTTTCAACAGTAGACTATAAGAAGCTGAGGAACCAATTAGCAAGTTAGAAAACAAGGTAGAAAAAACACCCAAACAAAGCAGGAACTGGAAAGAAAAATTAAAAAGCAGGAGGAGAGCCTAAGGGAGATTTGGGACAACATTAAAGGAAACAACATCCGCATAATAGGGGTGCCAGAAGGAGAGAAAGCTGAGCAAGGAATAGAAAACCTGTTTGAAGAAATAATGACAGAAAACTTCCCTGATGTTGGGAAGAAAAAAAATCACACAATTCTAAGAAGCACACAGAGTCTCAAACAAGATGAACCCCAAAAGACCTACATCAAGACACATTATAATTAAATTAGCAAACATCAATGACAAAGTAAGAATAAAGGCTAAAGGAGTTCATCACCACCAAGCCAGCATTATAAGAAATGCTAAAGGGATTGCTGTAATGAGAAGAAGAAATAGAGAGAGAACAGACATACAGAATTTAAATGGCAATAAACAAATACCTATCAATAATAACCTTAAACATAAATGGTTTAAATGCTCCAATTAAAAGACATAGGGTAGCTGAATGGATAAGAAAACATGACCCATATATTTTCTGTCTACAAGAGACCCACCTCAGAATAAAGGACTCACACAGACTGACAGTGAAGGGATGGGGGAAAAAATTTAGGCAAATGGAAATGAAAACAAAGCTGGGGTAACAATACTTATATCTGATAAAATAGACCTCAAAGTAAAGGCCACAATAAGAAATAAGGAGGGCCACTTCATAATACTAAAGGGATCCATACAACAAGAGGATATAACTCTGGTAAACATATATGCACCCAATACAGAACCACCCAAATACATTAAAAAAAAAAAAACTTCTGAAAGATATCCAGGGAGAGATCAACAGCAATATAATCATAGAGAGGAACTCTAATACACCATTGACACCACTGGATAAATCCTGTAAACAAAAAATCACCAAAGAAACAGCAATCCTAAATGACTCACTAGATCAGATGGATTTAATTGAGACCTTCAGATTATTTCACCCCAAAGCTACAGAATATACATTCCTCTCAAGTGCACACAGGAAATTTTCAAAGATACACCACATATTGGGACACAGGCAAAGTCTTTTCAAATTCAGGAAAATAGAAATCATATCAATCATATCAAGCATCTTCTCAGATCACAATGGCATA